AAATGGCCTCACACCAAGACAGGTAAAAGAGTAACCAGCTAAAAAAAACCACAGTATAATGGGGTTTTTTCTAAAGACAAAATGAAACAAAAGACTGGTGGCTTTCCACTAAAATTGCTTCCCCCTGTGAAAACTTACCCTATTATTTAGCTGTCAACTGTCAAAACTGCATCATTGTTAACAACCTAAGGCTACACTGAGCACACAGCTATGTATGATAACCTCTGCTTCTCATGAGAACATCTCCAAGAATATTTTTAAGCTCAGGCAAAACAAGGATGAAATACTTTAAACTCAGCCTTTCCCCAAGCTGCCCAACATGGACATCATGGCTGGAAAACACCAACCCAAGCAGTTTAAGTTCAGCAGAGCTATAAGCTACTGAAAACAAGGCCTGTTAGGCAAACTTAGTCTGCTGAAGGCATTATCCCTGCACGGCTGCACTGCCTCCACACAGGCCCAGTGTTCATGGGCACTGTGGTAATCTGCAGAGTGACTTGGCAGCTACTGCTCCACCTTTAAAGGTGGTGCCACCAGTTTTAGTTTTTTCAACCGGTTGGTAGAATGTAGATCATGCTACATTTAACATGTTGAGTACTAAACCGAGAAACTCGGGAAAGCCAGCCCTGTGCCTGTCCTGAGTAAACACTCAAGTGCCTCCAATGCCAGAGGAGCAACAAGAAGAAATTTAAGAAAAAGAAAAGGCCTAAGCTGTGCATGCGTAAGCCTCTACTGAAGGAGAAAGTTCTGCTTGGAGACAACCCAATCAAAGCACAAGGGCAATATTTAACCCTCGGGGCTCTTTCAAATTCATCTCCCTACAGTAGAAAAGACATCTTAGCCCTGGCTCTCACAAGCAGAGATTCAGCTCCAACCTGGTGCACTCTGTGGTCACAGCAGCTGCTCTTCTGTGTCCTGCTTATTGTCTTGCCAGCTTGGTAGTTAATGTCTTGATATTCTACAGTTTCTTCTCCTCTGAGCTGGACTAGGTTTCATAGGAACAGATCTGTTTTCCCCAAAGCCTTGCTAAGAGGACTGCTATTTCACACAAGCCCCTCTGTGCTCCCCCAGTTTTACCTTACGGATGCATCAAGCTAAATCCTACCCGAAATCCTGCTGCAGGAAAAACCCATTGCCTGCTGCAGCGATGAAGGTGACATTGCTCTGAATGCAGGAGTTGCACAGTGAGGTTACTTGCTGCCTAAAGCCAGCTACAAAAGGAAGATGGCTCTCCGACATCACCGTCACTGGGCTCAGCTGAAAACAGGAGATATTGCTTCATTAAAATTCATAGATCTTGTGACTTTTATAGAAATAGCAAGTAGAATCCAGGATGGCAGAGATGAGATATTAGGGCCAAAGAGTAATGACTGAGAGCAAAAACTCAGACTTCTGGCTGCCAATAATAAACATATTTGGTAAGAAGTGACTTTTATTCTAAAAGCTACATCTAACACATTGATCTTCAATATATTAAAGCCTGAATAATTCTGATTTTGCTGTACTGCATCAATATGTAGTTCATACAGGCAGTCTAATATCTGCAGCACTGCCACTTTGCTTGACGTGGCAAGTCACACTATACAACCTTACCTAAACTTCTGACAGATTCCAGAATATGTTGTTCATTCCCTGAAAGACTTTTGGACATGGTTTCTATCAGCAGTGCTTTGTGAACTAATCCACTGAAAGACAGAGTCACAGTCTCTGTAGACCGATAACATGGTGTTTTGTAGTGAGTGTATCACATCCATGACTGGATCCCACCTGCCAGTTCAATTTGTTGCTTCTTTCAGTCACAAAAGAAGAGCAACGATTAGTTAAAAATCATAATACATAGATGATAAGAAATCATGATGTAAGGAACTGGAAAGAAAACCAATATGCAAAATCAAAAATAGCACCTGCTTAGGAAAACTGTGTTCTCTAAAAGCACTGCTTCATTTTGGAACATGACTCAGAAGACCTCAGTCTTCATCTATTTCATTTGGCTGTGAAGTCCCAGCAGAGTAGATTCATTTAAATTTAAAAAAAAAAAAATTGTATACATATATATTGTGTGCCTCTGTAATAGCAGTTGACATCTAGGACGGCAAACTGTCTATTTAGACACAAGTATGCTTCTACCCTCAACAGTTTTGCATTTGCTTCCCTTCATTTATTATCATCAAGTATATTTGCATCCAAATAAAGTAGTTGGTTCTTCAGAATTCATCCATTTGTGCAGTTCATTTCCCCACCTCAAGCTTTATCACTGTGCAATCACAATTGGTTGTTGAGGATTTGATTATATCACAAAAAGAGGATTAGAGCTCCAGATGGGGCACACACAGCAGGAAGAACTGAATGCCTAAGCAAGAAGACCTGGTTTCCATGCAATTGCCATTGGTTTGTTAACCAAGAATGAAAGAAAGAGAAGGAAAGAAAATCTGGACATTCCATGCTACAGGTGCTCATTTTGTAAGAGAAGGGAGCAGCTGCTTAAGGACTGCTCTTCTTCTGTCAGCACTGGAAGGGATGCTAAGCAATTTTGTAGACACACAAAACTGGGAGGAGCTGCTGACTCCCTCGAAGGCAGCGAGGCCCTGCAGAGAGACCTCCACAAATTAGAGGACTGTGCAGTCACCAAGCATATGAAGTTCAGTGAGGGGAAGTGCTGGATTCTGCACCTGGATATAAGCACAGACTGAGCTACCCTGACATAATTACCAGCAGCTTCATGTCACCCACCAGGACTTGACTGAAGGACTCCAAACTAAAACCAAAAAAATTATCAGTTTCCATGACTCTGCCTTCAAAAGACTATAATATGAGGGGGAAAGGTTGATCAATGATGTTTAGGTCTACAAAGAGCACCACTGAAATGACTGGGAACCTGGGAGTTCAGCCAGATCTTGGAAAATCTGCTGACTTACAAATCGACACGGCCGGAGTGGCTACCCAGAGTGCTCCCAAAGACCTGATGATTTATCCTGTGCTCAGCATTGGTTAGGATACCCCAAGACAAGAAGGGACCTAAACGAGGAAAACGTGGAGAGAAATCTCCATTGGAATGCACCACAGAGATGAAGGGGGATGTACAGTATCAGAGTCTGCTGAAACTCAAGGGAGCCAACAGCTCACAAACCCAAGAGGTCTGTATCCGAGATAGCATCTTGAAAAGAACTCGGTTGGAAGAAACAGGAATGTGAACTCAGACAGACCCAACGAGTCTCCTTGGATTTTCTGTTTAAGAGATTGATGTTGGTCTGAAAATTCTATTGCTGGAACATTTTTATTTGTACTTCATTTTTACACCTGGTCACGTAGAGTTAAACAGCTGTTTTGACCCCATTTGAAAACCTTGGTGGATGTCCTTTCAGACAATTGCTGCAAGGAATGATGGAAGAGAAACTACAGGAGCTTTTATCAGCAGTGAGACAGATGTCTCCATTACTTCTTTGCTTTTTGCTGATTCCATTATTTTAATATTTTTCCTTTTTTTCCCTCCCCCTTCATCCCCCAGCAGTACTTTTTTCCAGCCAGGACAGATGTGCTTTTGTTACTGTTGCCTTTAAAAGTTTTATGTGCATATTGTTGGTAAAGTAACAACAATACTTGACTTCTGTAACATGTTTTTCACTAGGGGAAGCTGAAGCATTTTCTAAGAATCAATTATTCTTCACAAAGCATTTCTGAAGCAGACGTTATTATCCCCAGTTTACAGAGGGATGAAATGGCAGATAGGTTAATTAACTTGCTTAAGGTCATCCAATGAGTTAGTAATGGAGCTGCAAAAAACCCAAGATTCAACAATTCTCATTCCCAGTCCCTTGATCTAACCACTAAGAAATATTCCTTCTCTTCGGTCTTAAGTACTTCATTTAAATCTATCACTGATCATTTATTCTGACATCTTGTTGAACTACAAATTAGTCAGTCTCAATGACAAACATATAAATGTGTGGAGATTTACAGCATCCTCCATCACTTGCCTGTTCAGCTTCGTGCACCCCCTGCTATGCTGAACAGCTCATCGTCCATTAAAAATGGAGAACTGTCAATATCGTTTCAGGCATCAGTCCGAGGGCATCGTGTGAAAGAGGAAAAGCACTTTCTCCCTTTCCCCAGGAGGCAGGAAAGCTGCCTCAACAGCCTGGCTGTTGGGGAAAGCAATAAACTCAAGATGCCAACTGGCTTTGAAAAATAATTTCTATTTTTCTTTAATGCTGCATCTCTCTCCCAAGTGTTTCCAGTGTTAGGTAGCTGGAGCGGCAGTATTTAATAGCTACATCTTTGTAGATTTCACTCTGTGGCATTAGTTTGATGAGTCATTTTAAAGTCAAAGTATCCTTCAAATGCCCACCCAAAGTCTCTCAGTCTCTTAATACTACACATTCTCTCCAGAGGGTTTTGCACTGCAGTTGTCCCCATGGTTCAACATGAATCGCTGCACAACAAAATACAGCTGAAGTTTGCCAATTAATCGTGATCACATAAAGAAGGAATAACAAATGATTTCTAAAGACATCTGTAGCCAATGCCGTTTTACCAAATGCTCGGAGGGTCCTTCTGCTTCACTCAGTTGAAGATGATTTTATTCCCTCATGTCAATATTTATAACAAGAAAATGTTATGACAAGAGATCATCTTGCAGCTTGATAGTTCTGAGAATAAGACTTAGGAGTGAAGTCGATCACTGTGTCATACAGGAACCTCATTTCCAAGATCAACTGATACAAGTTCAGACTCTTTTTTCTTCGTAAATGTCAATAAACAAGCACCAATGAGCAAGCTGGCACCCTGATCTTTTTTTATTTCTTGGGTGTACCTTTGCCTTCTCAGGACAAACTCACAGTGTCTCAAGTGTCGCATTTTGTCAAAATTTTGCCTTAAAGCTGTTTACATTCAGTTAAAACTAAAACACATACACAAGAGGAATTAATCAGATAATTAATTCCAGATCATTGTTGATCACATAAAATAATTCCAGACCGAATTACTGCCAACTATTTGTGAAAAGGTCTTTCTGGTAGTTTATCAAGAGGTCTCTTTCTCTTTTTTCTTGCTGCTTTGCATTCATGTGCTTCGTGAATGTTTCTCCATTCCACTCATGTCTTTTCCTCACAACAGTCCCTGTGCAGAGAATGCCCATGTTGTCTTCTAGCATCATGTCAATTCACTGTCTTTCGACTTCTTTTTTAGGGTTTCACCTTTTTCACTCACTTGTCTGTCACTGATTTTCTTCTCTATAATTGCTAAAAAGTCCAAACACTTTGCTCTGTTTACAACAAAAAGCTCAGGAGGATCTAACAATACATCCATAGAATTCAGCTCATCACAAACCCATTCCTGTTGTCAGCTTCTGCTGTTTCCTTCCATTCCCTGGAAGAAGAAGAGAGAGCAGTTCAGCTGTTGACCTGAATGTTAAGCACCAGCAAACTAAACCAGGAGTGCAGCCACCAGTACACACATCTCTGATGGTAATTGCTCCCAGGGATGCATGTTACAGCACTGTCAGGCAGCCACACTGGCCTGTCTAACCTGTTCTCACCATAAGCATCATCTCAGAGAGAGTGACTTGGACAGTGTCCTCCAGGATGAATCCCATCACCCAGTGAGCTTGAGCTCCCCATCAGAATATAGGGAGACACTGTTCCAAATGAGGGGAGAAAGACCATTTTGGCTATGTGGATTGCAAAGCAGACCATGCTCTGCCTCTGCAAATTTGCAGATGTGTTGTCACTTTGTTGCTTGTTGTGACCTTGATATTCCATCCTGAGTGTCTGTATGCTGCCTTACTGGCACGCTAACCCTGGCTGGGTGCTCTGCAATCAATTCTCCTCATAACCACAGCAACAACAGTGATACAGTAACATAAATAGGATCTTATGAGTGCACTTCTTTACTTTGATTTAATAATAGCAATGTCTGACAGCAGAAACAACTGATTTCAGAGTAAAAACTGCAGAAGAAATTAACCAGTGTAGACCTGTTCATGTGTGTGCTTTCATCACCCCGAAAGAGCCGTGCTGGAGCCTGAACGTATACGCAGCAACACTGGGTCTCTGAAAATATTTGTATTGTGACTTAGAGATCTTTTACAACCTAAATGACTCCGTGATTCTGTGACTTCTGCCTACTGATCCTGACCTGTGATGTGTAACTATGAGGGAAAGTCAGTTTGCCTACTGTCCTGATCAGGAACAGCCGTAATTCTTACACCAACCTAATCCACTAAACGTCTCTGCCCTGAAACTCAGCAGAGTAACTTAGACCATCAGATCCCAGGGTGATAAAGCTGAAAAAAAAAAAAAACTAACCAAAAAACCCACAAACAAACAAACAAACCAAACAAAAACACACAAAACCCAAACCCAACAAACAAACAAACCAACCCCACACCAAAGTAAAACAAAGAAAAACCAAAACCAAAACCAAAACCACAAACAAAACAAAAAAAAAACCAAAACCAAAATCACAAAAAAACTGAAATGGGACCAGAATCCTACTTTGAGAGAAAGAGGAAAATGCTCTTCAGTGCTCTATATGCCAGTTTTCAGAGTATGGGTAACATACAAGAAGAACTGGATATTTTCACTGATGAGGAGAAACAAGATCAAACTGGTGTAATTACTGGAAAAGATAAAATGGAATCTTATAATATTTTGCCCCAATCCTTTTGAATAAATAAAGAAATTTGAAGATTGAGAAGGTAACAGTACATATGAAACCATCAGCACTATTTTAGAGATGCAAGCAGTAACTTGTTCCAATGAATGCTATTGAGGAGGGGTGGAAGGGAGCAGAGATGGCTGCAGAGAATCAGGCTGATCCCTCCAATGTACAAGAAGTGTTTGGAACTGTGTGAGGAAAATGCCCCAAATAGCCGGCAGCCATGTCTCATCAGATTTTCTAAAACTTATTTTCCATGACAGAAGTTATTCCAGTCTATATGGAAGAAGTATTTTTGAACTCAAAATGTTTAAACTACTTAATCATGGAACAAAAAAGTGGTGGTTGCTTAGGAGTCAGCTATCATAATTTGATTATAACAAGGACAGTTGGTATAACAAGGACAGTTGGTATAACAAGGAAAGAGGACGGTCCCAGTCAGGGACTGAGACACACACAGAGATGCTTCAGAAAGATTATCCCCATCAAGATGGGAGAAATGATGCGAAAATTACGATTTAAAAATAGAGATAGAAATGTAAATGAGAGTACATATGATCTTACTCCGTAAAGTCATGATTGCTTAATTAACAAAATGGCCAAATTTGGCTGAAGGACAATTTTGTCTCAGCAGTAGGGTGAAGGAAATTCTCAGAAGCTAAAAGCATAGTATAGAACAACATGGAAAGGCCAAAATATAGAGAAAAAAATTGTTCTGTTAATACAGAAAATGAAGACTACAGAAATGTGATTACAGACAGTAAAATGGGGAGTGCAACAGTGTCAAGGTGTATGTCTAAATAGAGATGGTAGAACAGCATAGAAGTGGCAGAAATGTTAAAAACATACATTCCCTTCTTAGAAAAAGGTACTTTTCTTATCTAGTAGGGAAAAAAAAGGAAAGAAGAACTTTTCAGTCCATTAGTCAGTAATGAAAATAGAAGGCAATTTCTACTAGAGCTAACATTTTAAAATTAGGATATCTAGAGAACTTTTATATGACAGTCTTTGAATAACTGGCTAAAGAGATCCCATAAATGTTAATTCTTAATAATCATAGAAAGGCTTGGGTTGAAAGGGACCTTAAAGATCACCTACTTCCAACCCCTCCCTCCTATGGGCAGGGACATCTTCCACTAGATCAGGAATATAAAAAGGAAATTTCAGAGGATCATGCCAATATTCAAAAAGGACAAGTAAGGTGACCGGGGTGCCCATGCCCAGGCCATGAGGCTGCTCTGCTCATGACAAGCATGGAAAAGGTGACCGAAAATTAATCAAGGAAGGCCAACAGAATAACAATATCTTCAATGCTGAGCAGAATCTGCTCTTCTAGAAAACAGGCCCAGCCAGACAAACCCAGCTTCCTCCTTCAATGGCATTACACGTTTGGCGTATAAATGCAATCACATAATTGTCATTTACTCAGATGTTTGTACAGGGTCTGATTTAGCACCTCCTGGCACTGATTAAAAATTAGCATAAACCGAGCACAGGGAAAGCTCACGTGAGGCGGGACTGGCAGTGGCCAAAGGGGCGGCGGGGGAAGCGTTAGCAGGGTCAGGTGCCCAGCCCCAAGTCTCAGGGGCTCCCCTGGGCACACAACCTGCTCCACTCCAGGTTTGGAGTCACAAGGGTTAGTGACCAGAGACCAAGACGACACTTGTGCTGAAAGACCGAGATTGTGCAGGTGGATTTGCCAAAGCAGATATATTTAAGCAGCTGAATATCCATCCTTGAAAAAAAAGAAGGCAGAGGGAAGCAAATGTTATGAGTCTAAGGACTGGCAAGGAGCACAGGAGACAGATACCCTAACTTTGGAGAAACAATTTTTTTGTGTGTGGTTTGGAGACACAATGAATGACAGAGAAACATTTGTGGCTCCCAAACTCTTTCTATCATCACCTTTCAGTAAAGCTGGATTTTGACAACGGTTGTCTCGGTTCGCAGCCTGGTCAAGGCTGTGAGTGACGACACCTGGCTTTCAGCCCTTCGTGTAAACTCATACCTTCTCCCAAGAGTAAAACCGACTTGTTTTTGTTTTATTAACCCAGACAGACATTCTCACAGAGCAAGACTGCTGACTGTGTGGTCATCTCACAACAATCTTCCCTGGCAAAAGGAAAGAATAATGCTGTATGTAGATTTGTCATAAGCGTCTAATGAGAACATCTGCTGATTTCACGATTAGATTTAAGCATATAACTCCAAAGCTGCCTATAACAGGAAAAAGAGAGGAAGGCACAATGGAAACGTTCCTGACAATATCTGCAGATGCCTGTTAACACAGGAGGGCGTAACCCTCTTATGGGGTGATGGTTTGGGTTGTCCTGTGCGGAGCCAGGAGTTGGACTCGACGACCCTTGTGGGTCTCTTCCAGCTCAGGATATTTTATGATTCTATGACGATGCAGCTCAGCACCTGACAGGCCGTCACTCATTGCGGGGAAGGAGGAGGCGGATCCGCCCCGGCAGGCGGGACCGGGCTGGGACGATCCCGCCTCTCCCTGCACGTCACCCTCCCGTGCCGCTCTCCGGCATCACCGACCGCCCCCTCGGCATCTCAGACCGCCCCCTCGGCATCTCAGACCGCCCCTCGGCATCTCAGACCGCCCCTCGGCATCACCGCCCGCCCCTCGGCATCATCGCTCCGCGCCGGCCGAGGGTCCGCCCGGGTGCTACCGGGTGAGCGGGGCCGGGGCCGGGGCAGGGTGGAATGGACCCCGCGATGCGGGGCTGTGTCCCCGGACGCTGCCCTACCGAAGGGAAGCGGGACCGACTCGGGCCGGAGGATGCGCCGCTCCCGCCTCCGGTGACCTCCGTGCCCCGGGGCGGCCTCCTCTTCCCGGCGGGCTCGGGGTTCAAATCAGGAGTCACTCTGGAAACAGAAAGTTTTCCTCCTGTGTTCCGAGCGAGAAGGAAGCTGTGTGAGGCAGGCTGGTGGATTGGAAATTAAAAACAAACAGCCCAGGGCGGGAAAGCTTGCTTTGGGTGGGAGTGAGGAGCAGGGAGGAGGCGGAGCGGCGGTGCTGGAGCCTGGGTTTGGTTTTGGTTTAGGTGTGTTAGTTACCAGTGGGCGATCCTGAAATTGTCCTCGCTGGACGTGGCGATAACAAAACTGTTCTGTCACATCTCGCGTAATCAGAGATCGCCCTATAACAGGCTTTGGATGGCTCTGGCTCTTGGGAGTTTGTAGCCTTCACCTTTCCTCTCTCTCAAACATTCTTAGTGGGGTGAGGATTAATGGAGTTCTCCAGCGTTGGCTTGGGCCGTTTAGATTCCTTTAGCGATTCTGAAGTAAAGGTCGGGTTTATCAGACCACAGGTTTGCATCGTTTAGGAGCTAAAGGTGCTTTCATTGAAAGGTTGCAGTAAGAAGAGATTGAGCAAGCTTTGTTGTTTGACTTGGGTCTAATGATACTTTCAGAGCGATGTGATGAAGATTTTGGGGGAAAATTTGTTGCTTTGTCTCTGAATGTAGGAATTAAGGCTGGCTGTTCTGAAATGGATGGTGTAGCACGACTTAGTGATCACTGCCCCATGTAATAGGTGCTCAGGTGGAAGTGCTGCCCTGCAGTCAATGAAGAGCTTCTGCCTTCTCACAGTAGGCCTGCTGCCTTAGCTTGAGGCCTCTGATGCTTAGCCTTCCTTTTTGTTGATTTTTCCATTTCTCTCTCAGACACAGATTACTTGTAATTACATGCTTCATTTTTTTCCTGCTCCATTTTATAGAGCTGTACTAACAGGAGTAAATCAAAGCAGACAGTTGTACACCAGGTCCTGCCGTGGGCAAGTGTATGTAAGGGAGGTTATGAATACTTCAAATTTGCATTATTAAACAACAGGCTCCATGTAATCATACTGAAATGGACTTAGCACTGTCCTACTGATTACTCATATCCATGCTCTTTAATTTTTTACGCTCATCTGCAATCAGCTGTGCAATACTTCTTAAAACAAGAATTTTGAACTTCAACCTCAGTGTAGTCCACTTGAACAAATCTCGCTTTATTTCTCTGGAGACTTGTCGTCACTTATTCAAAAAGGCACAGTGCAAGCAACATACAGCTTAAAATACAGGATTATGGGGTTCTCATTCTTGTCTATTACAACCCATGTTGCAAAGAAAGAGTGAAGATGTAAAGAAATGGAAAAGTGGGAAGGATTAGAAAAGCTGAGAGAAAACCCTTCTTCATGCTCCTTTAAGAGAGTGGTTGTCTCTGGTGGCCTGATAACAATTAATAATGGTTTTGTCTTCAGGGCATTTTTGTTGCAGAGGTCTTTAGGTGGGAGATGGCTAAAAGAGAATGGAAAGCTGTTGGTGGATTTTCTTGGAAAAAGGAATCTAGCACGGGGAAATTTTTTTCCTCCCAAAAAGAATGGCTATTGTGAGAGACTGAAAAGAGAATGAAGAAAAAGGTGGCATAGATGATTAAGGGAAGAGAATTGAGATGGGAAAGATCTGTGTGATTCATATAGAGAAACATGATTTATTTAGGTTGGCCATTGTTGTTAGACAGATTATAACAGTGTTTTAAATTGGGTGAGAAATTTTCATGAGCAAAACTTCCAGGTTGCTTCCTCAATATGTTCAGATGGTGTCTTACCTTGTGCTTGTGTAGAAGTCAGCAGTATTGCAGCAGGTGCTATTTTTGGCAGAGCTCACACTGTAATTGTTCCTGTGATGTGAGTTTAGAGGTAGTCTTGAGCAAGCCGAGTGGCATCTGCTCATAAATTAGCCATGGTAAATTGTGGTTCAGTGGAGGTACTTTTATAGCCAGTATTGCTGTCTGTAGTGTCCTAGTTAGGCTGGTAATTGTACCTGAATTGGTGCTGATGTTCTTTGTGTGCTAAACTATGTACTAAAGATTAGACTGATTTCGTGCAAGGAAGGTGACACTTGAAACGTGTGATCAGTGTACGACGCGTTGTTTCGTTTGCCTTAATTCTGGGATAGCCTGTCATGCTCAGCCATCTCAGAGTTGTGGCGCTCTTGTGTTTCCTTTTGCAGGAAGGTCTGTCCGTCTGTCTGTCTGCCTATGTGTGCCCACTCTTCCTGGAGACATGTCCAATGTTTCCAGTTACGCCCTGCGAATGGCCCGGCTGAGCGCGCAGATATTCGGAGACGTTGTCAGGCCGACTGACTCAAAATCCATGAAGGTGGTGAAGTTGTTCAGTGAGCAGCCCTTGGCCAAGCGGAAGGAGGTGTACAGCTGGTACCCTCCTCACAACACCTACTACGCCCTCATGAAGAAACTCCGCTACTTTGGTCTCTACAGGTACTCTCTGGGCTTACAGGGTTGGGAGCAGGACTGGAGATGGAAAGGGGGTGGCTGTGAGTCCGCTTACAGTTGTTTTCCTCAAGGGAAAGAGAAAAAAGTTTTAGTTCTGAATGTGGTGCATATGGAAATGCACACTTGATTGTTGCAGCGAGGGCAAGGAGCATAAAATAAGTGACTGCTGTCCAACTTTTGCCATAATTGGAACCTTTTGTGCAAAAGACTTTAGGTATAGTTTTGGGCAAGCAGTTACATAAGAAATAGTTCCTGCTTTGGCTTTGTGGGGAAGGGAAGAGAGCTTTCTCATAGACAGGAGATGGGGCTGTAGTTCTGGATATGGCAAATGAATGCGCTACGAAGAGGTGATGTTAACACCAAAATTGCACTGAGTCAGTCTTATGATATATTCCTCAATCATTCAACAGCTAATAAGTGAAATGTTGAAGAGAAGGAAGGTCTGTGTTAGGCCAGAGGGCCTTTTTATCCTTTAAAATAAATAAGGTTAAATTAAATTCAAGTGTTGTTTAAATAGCCTTATTAATTCCAGCTTCATCCAAACCAGTTGTCTAATTTCCACATGAGTTTCCACGGTCTCTAGCAGAAAAAAACTGCACCACTAAAGAACATCAGCAGGAGTCAAATGCATTTCTTTGACTTCAATCAGGTAGCACTAAAGAAATCCTTTAAAAAAGGGAGGCTGCCAACCCTATGAGGTCAAACTAGATTAATTTCTCTTGCTAGTATCACAACACTAGCCATCAAGGATTGTGTCCAGGATGCTCCTTGTTTAGGTGGGTGTGCAAACATTTTCTGGAGTAGATGTTTGCTTACACAGAGAGCCCCAGTGACATGTCCATGTTCCTTACTCTTCCCCTATTAATCTCAGGTTCCTTCTCTAGCTGCTCTCTACACAGAGAGCTCGTAGAGGGTCAGGCTTGCAGCTCAGAAATATGTAATGAAGAGTTATAGACTAACAGGGCCCAATAATAAATCACAAGCTTTTTGTTACTATTTAGAGAAGTTGTGTAGAAAAATAGCAGTGCAGCAATCTTAGGCCACGTAGGATGCAGTTAGGACCTTTGAAAATTGCTTTGCACTGAAAAATACAGGAACAGAGATTAATAGAATTTATTAGATCATTACTGAGGATTAATTATCTCTGCCGGCCCCTTCATCCTCCTTCCTGTTTTATTCTCTTGTTAAGATTCTACCAGTACTCACGCTTTCTTCATAACTCATTCTTGAAGTCTCCTGAGAGCAGTGTCATGGGCTGTAATTACTGCTCAGCATGCCCCTGTTTCCTTAGAAGCTAATGACCTGAACTTAGCATCTAGCACAGGAACACAATGTGCTATTTGTAGACTGCTGGGCCAAACGAGAAGGGGGGAATCTCATCCTTGTCTCTTGCTGATTTTTACATTTTACTGCTCATTTAAGCACAGTGAATCAATAAATGCAGTTGAAATAATGCAAATATGCACTCGCCATTTTTTGCTGGAAAGGGCAACCTTGTCAGTTCTGAAAGTACCAGAGAAAATCATTCAGTGATACTGTTGCAGTAACAAGGAATACATTGCAGTGAATTTCAGTATGGATTTCATGGTTTAAAAAGTTTTGATGGGTTTTTTTCATTATCACATACTCCAGAGAACCTTTCGCATCTCAGTGTTCCAAGAAACAGAGTAAACTTCTTTACTTTCCTCCTCATCTAGGGATGAGCATCAAGACTTTAAGGAGGAGATGAGGCGATTGAAAAAGCTCCGTGGGAAGGAAAAACCAAAGAAGGGGGAAGGAAAGAGAGCTCTCAAGAAGAAATAGTTCTATTTGAA